ACCGTAAGGTCACTTCCGTTATTCCAAACAGCAGTCATAACAGCAACAAGCCACTAACTTCCGTTGTTGACTCCAAATACTACTAACTATGAAGATCTTCAGCCCTTATAATTGTCTTGTGCCAAACAACTATCTTCCATTGTTGTTTGAAAACTTGGGCTGTTACCCCCTCGTCACCGGTTATCTTAGACATCCTAAGTTAAATTTACCCTTCCATGATTCACATAACATGCAAGCACAATTAGTTTGAATGGCCTGTTCAATCTAAAGGATAATTAAAACTCTAAGACTAAGCATACAAATATTATCCGAGAGTATGAATCAAAATATACTTATATAGAGTAGAGGGATTAGACCCTAGAAAATGAGTTTAGCTACTCATGGAGTGAAGCTCTAACACTAAAAAGTTCAAGTGTTGAGACTCCTTCATGGTTTCAACAGATATTATAGAAAACAGGAGAAGAGTACAGGAAGTGTGGTGAAGTGCAGCTAACTTTGCATAGTCAGTTTCTCACTTCTCCAAGATACACCCCTGAGTCTACCTTCCAGAGTTAGACTATGTTTCTACACTTCTGAACTAAACTACACTATCTATTCTATTTGATTCAGATATTCTTTGATGCCTTCTTATTCTTGCTGCTGCCTTTTATAGAGGTTGGGGTAGAAATCCTTGCTTAGCCAAGTTGGTCTCCTCTTTAACCGATGCGTTTAAGCAAAAGAGAGGGGACCCATACTTTTTCACCTTTTCCCTTTACCTCTAATCATCTTTTTTTTTTAGAGGTTAAAAAAAAAAAGTTTTCAGATGTTAATGCACGCGCGTGTCTTGTTGAGTGGTGGGAGATTCGTCTTCATAAGAGTAAAATCGTAAATAAATAAATAAAATCTCATTTGAGTTTCTGCTTGGGTTAGGGTGTCAATTTCTGTCACAATGACACGATATATAAAGACATACCCGATACGACACGATATGATTAAAATGATTTGTATTTTTAATTATATTTTGACTCCAAAAGATCTTGTGAAACGTGGACACTAGCGGAACCAGGGTGGGGGCCTTGGGGCAATGACCATTATTGGGCCCACCCTGGATCCTATATTTACATATAATATTTTTATTATTTTTTTTATTTTTTCTGTTTTTTTCCTAGCGGTAGAGTTTAATAATCACTATATTTTTACTTTTGCTATTAACTGAGCTTTTCTGAATCCATAAAACTCTGCCAACTTAAGTGAAATTTTGAAAATTAACTATTCATTTTTTGCTTCACTCACAAACCAGTAGTGGCTATTATACATTTTTCCCCTCATTTTCTCTGAAAACAACCATCGCCAAAAGTGATCAGACAGCCAAGCTAGCCTTTTCTACATACTGTGTTTCGTTTATTTTTTAATTTTCTAATATTGACCTAGGTATAATCTTTCTCAATTTGATAGTTAAAAAAATTGTATAATGGAATTTATCATGTTGTTTGAAAAGTTTTATTATTCTGACTCCTTGATTCAATATTACTATTCTCTCTGCACTATGTCTACAAATTTTAAAGCTTTGACTTATTTAAACGTAAATTTGGTTTTGATATATTGTTTCCATATTGATGAAAAATCTAGATTATATATTAAATCAGATTTTTCAATCAATACAAGTCCGTTAATTAGATAGTTCATAGACTTCTTTGCCACATGTCAAGTTCAAAAGTATTTTTCGACACGTATCAATGCAAGAGACTCCCTTTCATTACAGTGTTAAAATTTTTTGAAAATTGGTTATTTTAGTTTATTTTTCACCCATATGTTTCACCTATAAAGTATTCCATATATATTTCATTATCTACTTTATTAATAAAAAATTTATCTTTTCCATTACTAAATACTTTTTTACTTTTTTTATTAGTTGCTAAGAATAATTTTTTACACATTTTTAAGAATAGTTCAGCGCGGCGGAATTTTTTTTAAAGAAATCATAAAATTTATTTCAGTAGATGAAAAACCATCAAATATATATAAAATATAGTATTATTTAGGGAATCTAACAAAAAAGATATTTCTAAAGAGATATTGCATTGAAAAAAATATATTTTTACATTTCTTTTACCTGTTGTGTTCCCTAAAACTTTCATTTTGAGTTACTAAATTTAGTAAAAATTTGTAAAATTATAATACCAAGTTATCATCAATTTTATCGGTTATTACTTCTAAAATTTTACTACAAATGAATTATAGTAATATTTTATATTTCAAAATGTACACTATCTTGAATATGAAATATAAAAAAAAGATGAATATAATTTACACAACAAAAGACGAACAATTATTATTATATATAAAAATCCGACACAAACTTTATCATATTATGATGATAAAGCTCAGCTCACATGTAATCATAATGTTACAATTTTATGCAATATATGTAACACAATCCGTACAATGCGCGGAGATAATTCTAGTAATTACCGTAGGAAGACTTGGTGAGAACTAATTATGCGGATGGTTTTAAACTATTATAAAATGATGGAGACTCACGATTATATCTAAATTTTTCTTCATAATGTTAAAAACATTTCTTATGAATATTTAGTTTTATTTTTGCTTTTTTTTTGTTTGAAATAATATTGACTTTTTAAATGTTGCCATAAATAATACTCTTTTCAATCTAGGATAATATGTGACAATCATTACAATGCGGAGAGAAATTTTCTATACGTTGACATATTTATATTATATGTGGCCCTCAATTTATTTTCTTCCTAAATTTGCTACTGAACGTGGAATACATAAGTTGAAATTGATCTTATAACTCGAATCTCCAGTATTTCGTGAAGTAAATTTTAAGTTTCTTTTTGTTTATTTTTTTAAATTTTTTTTTGAACTATGCTTGGTAACTTGATCCGCTACTACAAATGAAAGCATCTCAAACAAAACTGCCTACATTGGACCTCAAAAGTTAGGATGGGAACAAGAGATAATCTGATAAGATACTGACGCTTACAGCTTTGCTAGTTAGATAGATTGTCAGTTATTGATTCACTTGATATAAAATACTATGATGTGGATGACCATTGATTAGTTTCGTTCACATGCAAAACAATATGATCCCTCCGGTCCTAATCTATATATTATATAATATTATATATATATATATATATATATTGGGATGGGCACAAGAAATTTTTTTTCCTAAAATAAAATAAAATAAAATAAAGAGAGAAATGGAAATATAGACGAATAATATATTCCCAATTAACAATTTACAAACATTAGTGCAAATTTTCCATTCAAAATTTTTACTCCATATTTCTTTTTCTTTTTTTTCTTTTGAAGTAAAATACGAAATGTCCAAATTTCCTTTTTATTTTTTTTTGCGAGGGAAAATGTCCAGATTTCCTCATTTGAAATGAAAGACAACTGTGAGCAATGGTTTGCATTACTGAATCCATTTTTCTGTATAATTATTCTGAAAACATCACTACTCCTACAGAGAGGATTACCCAGAAACCTTGAAACAAGAGAAGCAGGAACCAGCCTTGCTTTAATCAATTTATGAATAGTATTGTCTTTTAGTATTATCCGCAAATTACACAATGTAAACTGTTTTTCTGGAATAGAAGAAATTATTATAATAGGACTATACTATCAGTAAAAGTTATGAACTAAAGGAAAATGCAAGATGTAAATACTGTAATTTACCTAAAACACTCTTTGGTTGCATGGCTGCAGATCTATAAAGGGAGAGGATATGGACTAAATTAGGGTTGAATCGGTTCAAATGGGAAATCCCTGGTGATCAGTAATTGTAGATGCTGCTTATGCACATAGATAAGGATAAAACGCTGCAATATCTGTTCTTTGAATGCGTATTTCCCGGAGAATTGATACGTAAATTAAGGCTTAGTCAGGATTAAGAAACTTAATAGTGGTTCAACTTAAATGGATGAAGGAAATACATTGCATTTGGAAGAAGTGCCTTCAGGAGAAAAAAGGAAAAGAAAAAATAAAATTCTTTGTGCAGTGATTATTGGTTGCTTTTTATCAGAACGAAAGAATATTTGAACAAAGAACAAGAATTGTGAAAGTACTATTTCAGCAGATCTACTCTGAAACTTGCATCAGGCTTCGAAGTTGGAAAAGAATACTTGGTCTGCATAGTGCAATTTTGGTAGGAAACATGCACCGAAATGCTTGTGAATATAAATATATTTTACAGCATTTTTAACAAAGAAAAAAAATAAAAGAAAGTGATCAAAGATTAAATAATAAGTGAGCTGATGGAGAATGTCAATCAAATTTTCGTCTAGCTTTACATGAATTTTACGTGAGAAAGTGTCCATATAACAGCTAACGAAATTCTATCTCTTTTTTGTATTAATTATCAACTGTGTGAAACGATATAATATTATGAGTAATGATACACAACTCGATCACCTAATTCATCTCACCATTGTATCTCACCTTATAAAAAACACCCTAATCCCGAAAAAAAACCCTAAGCAAAAATTATAATAGTGCAAATGATTTATAATTGGACCAATATTGATAAGAAATATAGTATTTAAATTTATTTATTTAGATGTAGTGTAGAAAACGGTGTACCAAAAGCAGAAAATTTATTATTTAACAAATAATTAACACGTAAGGTGAGATATAAGGGTGACATAAATTTGGTGAGATGAATATCATTTCTCTAATATTATTTTATGGAAAAGATAAGAGCTGTCTTTTACTTTAAGATTTAGGGATAATACAACTTACTTATCATTTCATTTAAGAAAGAAAAAAGAAAACTTTTGGCACGCAATAAGCAAACACATAACATCTCATTTAATGATTTGAATAATAATATAATGTAGTAATTTGCAAGAATTATATGTAGAAAAATATTTTTGAGATTAAACCTCCAATGATAGGCAAACCGCAAAATTCTGATGCAAGCAATTCTCGAATTCCACCATGCAAAAAGTTGCAAAGGTGGCAGAAGAAATAGTCAATCTAAACCGCAACAACAAAGAAGTTTCTCCCTCTTTCCATTTTTTGTCCATCCAATACTTTGCTACCCTCATTTCTTCCTTTCACTATTCTTGGCAAAACTCCCTCCTCTTTTCTCCTTCTTCCCTATGCCCATACTTTTTTTCCTTTTCTTTTCATGTCAGCCTTCTTTCCATTCTCCAGCTCCTTTTGTGTGCACAAAGAAGAGATTCGTTTCCAAAAGGAGCCCTTCAAAGGGGGCGCGCTCATGAAAGTGTGCGCGCGCCGTTGCCATGGCTACATCAAAGGTTAAGCTCTCAAGGTGGTTCCTCGCCGTGGTAGCCGTTGTTCTAAGCCAGGTTTTTACGGTTACATGTTTATCAGAAGCCGAATTGCTTATACAATTTAAGGGTACCTTGGAAAACAATGGAGGGTTGTCGAATTGGGACACCAAAACGCCTCCTTGCAATGGTGACAAGGAGAATTGGGTTGGTGTGCTTTGTGATAAGGGAAATGTCTGGGGATTAAAGCTTGAAAATATGGGATTGAAGGGTTCTATCAATGTGGCAGCCCTTAGCCAGTTACAGGATTTGAGAACTATTAGCTTGATGAACAATGATTTCACTGGATCCCTTCCCCAAGTGAATAAACTAGGTGCACTGAAATCATTGTATTTGTCTCATAACAAGTTTTCAGGGGAGATTCCGTCCAGTACTTTTGAAGGGATGTTATCAATCAAGAAAATTCATTTGGCTGATAATCAGTTTTCGGGCTCAATTCCGGCTTCCTTGGCAGGTTTGCCAAAGCTTATGGAGTTGATGCTTGATAAAAATCAATTCTCAGGCCAAATTCCGGATTTCAAGCAAGACAGATTGAATTCTATTAATTTGTCCAACAACCATTTGGAGGGTCCTATTCCTGCTAGCCTCAGCAAGGTTAACAAAAATTCATTTGCTGGTAACTCTTTTTCTTCTTTGGCATTAATCCTTCTTTCAATCTTTAACGTTTTTAATGTCTTTAGGCAATCATTTATAGAGCATATATCATCATCAATTGGTTGTATAATCTTTATTTCTTTTCCTCTATATAAGATTCAAGCCATTCTTCAATGATATTTAATAGATTTTTACAGTTGAATCCATATTATCTATCTTCGTGCACCAATTTTCAGTGCAGATAGATATACCCTGATAAATTAAGTTCTCATTAACAAATATTAACGAGCATTTTTTAAGATTCCAGAATCTACAGCTAGAAATGTGAGATATAGGAAAATCATGTTATCTTCTGATACACAGGCAATGAAGGCCTCTGTGGTGGACCTTTGGAAAAATGCCCTGAACCTGAAAAATCAGAGCCAAAGCTTTCTGTTGGAACTATTGTCATTGTTGTGATAGCAGTTGTGATTGCCGTTGGCGCGATTATTGCAGTTGTAGTCATTTTGCGAAGGCGTAAGACAGCGCCCCAACAAGAAGCAATGCTTGGAGGTTCAGCAGTAATTCAACATGGTCACAATGGAGCTCCTGCTGGAGATTTGGACAAACTGGAAAGAGGGATGTCACCCGACCGCGGCTCGGAAGGCAAAAAGGGCGATCAGAATATCAAACTCTCATTCTTGAGGGATGATGTTGGAAAATTCGATATGACCGATTTGCTTAAAGCCTCCGCTGAGGTATTAGGCAGCGGAACATTCGGATCTACCTACAAAGCTGCCCTCAGCACGGGCCCCGTGACGGTCGTAAAAAGATATAGGCACATGAACAATGTCAACAAGGAAGAATTCCATGAGCATATGAGAAGGCTAGGCAGATTGAATCATCCAAATGTGCTTCCAATTGTGGCTTTCTACTACAGAAAAGAAGAGAAACTCATTGTTTCCTCCTATGTACATAATGTCAGCTTGGCCGTTCATCTTCATGGTAATAATCCTTTTATGTCCATTTGCGCGAATGATAAATTTTTCCACATTCTTTTTGATGCAATAATCATTTGAAGGAGAAAAGACTTAGCATAATATAACAATTTTGATGACGGCTATGTTTGTTTTGTGATATTGCATAAGTACTAATAGATTTTTTGTCTCTTCAGGTAACAAATCTCGTGGCCAACCAAGTCCAGATTGGCCTACAAGATTGAAGATTATCAAGGGAGTATCAAGAGGCCTTCTTTATCTTTACAATTCACTACCAAGCCTAGTTGCACCCCATGGTCATCTGAAATCTTCCAATGTTATTCTCAACGAATCGAATGAGCCAATGCTCACGGATTACGGATTACTACCCGTAGTCAATCTTGAACAAGCTCAGGAGCAAATGATAGCATACAAGTCACCCGAGTTTAAGCAACATGGTCGTATCACGAAGAAAACTGATGTATGGAGTCTTGGAGTGTTGATCCTTGAGATTCTCACTGGAAAATTCCCATCAAATTTCCTTCAACAAGGCAAGGGAAGCGACGGGGATTTGGCGACTTGGGTGCAATCCATTGTCAAGGATGAATGGACCGCGGATGTGTTTGATAGAGATATGACAGGAACTAACCATTGTGAAGGTGAAATCATGAAGCTATTGAAGATAGCGCTGGATCTTTGTGAGCCTGAGATTGATAAGAGGTGGGATATTAAGGAAGCCGTGGACAGAATCGAAGAAATCAAGGAAAGGGATGATGGTGGTGGTGATGATTACTTCTCTTCATACACTAGTGAAACAGACATGCGCTCTTCTAGAGGGTTATCAGAAGATTTCATCAATGTTCCAATGAATGGTTAACTAGGGGGAATGATTTGATTCCTACGTTTTAAGTCTTTCTTCTTCTTTCTTTTTTTTCTTGTCAGAAAAGGAAGTTTTGGAAACAAATTTGATTGATTCCTTTCAGAGGCAGGGGAATGAGAATGGGGAATGGAAAAAAGTTTTGACTTCACAATGTGATTGTTCCAAATGAAGAATTTATATTGAGGTGAAGTTCAAAATATTTGAAGGCCTTTTGAAGGTGACAAAATGGGCAACAAAATGCATTGAGTTTATTTTTTTTGTTCTTCTTCATTATGTAAATATATAAGGCTAGTGGTGCTTTTGAATCCATATGTAAGCTGAGATTTTTATGTAGAGAAAGAGACTTTTAAGGTTTAAACAAACTAATGCTTGTCCTCTAATAAGATTTTGAAGGTTTTTACATGATTTAGTCACATCTCAACTAATTTTAAATCCAGGGTCATTTTTCAGTATTTAAGAAAGAGAAGAGCTTTTGTGTTGTAGAATGATAAAACTGAAAAGTTTAGAATTAGACTGGTGTCAAAATTTTCACTTTCAAATTGTGTTCAATATCTAGAGCGCGGTATATCACAGTATTATTACAATGACGCTTCTCGAAAAGGAGGAAGAACGTAGAATACAAACAAGTTGATCATGTTCTATACTGGAAACAAGTAATCAGGTTGGTGAATGGTAGCAATTAATTAGGCGAGTTGACCAGCTCTTTAGTCTAGTCCTGTCAATGGATGCCAGTACTAACATTTGACTTTCCTAGACTAGAACGAAGAGGTTACATACTTGCATTACATGTGAACTTGCCGAGTTTCCACTGCGCCTAAAGTTAGAGATTTGTTAAGAGAAGTTCAAAGTATAAAAAAATTATATAACAATTTAGTTAGATGGATTAGAATATCTCATAATATGTATACACATATATACTAGAAGATTATCAGTAGATTAGTGAAACAGACATGCGCATTTCTAGAGGATTATCCTATGTTTTAAGTCTTTCTTCTTCTTTCTTTTTTTTTTTTTTTTTCCCCTTGTCAGAAAAGGAAGTTTTGGAAACAAATTTGAATGATTCTTTTCAGAGGCAAGGAATTAGAATGGGGAATGGAAAAAAGTTTTGACTTCGCAATGTGATTGTTCCAAATAAAGAATTTATATTGAGGTGAAGTTCAAAATATTTGAAGGCCTTTTGAAAGTGATAAAATGGGCACCAAAATGCATTGAGTTTTTCTTGTTCTTCATTATGTAAATATATACGGCTAGTGGTGCTTCGGAATCATTTGTAAACTCAGATATTTATGTTGAGAAAGAGATTTAAGGTTTAAACAAAGTAATGCTTGTCCTCTAATAAGAGTTTGAAGGTTTGTACATGATTTAGAGTCACATCTCAACTAATCTTAACTCCATGGCTCATGTTTCGGTATTTAATTAAGAATTAGATGCTTGCCCCGGGCGAATGCCTGGGATACGTCCTGTATTTTTAAATCGATTAAATAAAAAATACGAATCATTCTTAAAAGAATAAAAAAAATAGAAGAATAAAAACTCGATTGAAATGACAGAAAGTGAGTTATTATACATAAATCTATGTCCAGATTTGTAACATTTAATTTACAACAGTTAACTTATGCCCGGGTTTACATAAATCATAAACCAATATCTACAACAGAAGAATAAAAAAAAATCATCCTTAAAAAATCAAATTTCTTTCATGACAGCTTATTTTGTCGCTGTTGTAGAAAGAGATGGATTGATAATTAATGTCAGATTTTAAGTAATTGATTTAAAGGCCCGGGTGTGAGAGAGGAGCGAAATGGAAGAGATTCTTTGAAATTGGAGATTGGGAAGACATTATATGTAGTCCTTTTAAAATAATATTTATATCCTATTCTCTACAATTTTCTTTATTCCTTTTCTAATGTTATAATTGTTTAGGACTCAGAAATTAGATGGCAGAAGCTAACAACCAATGTTAGTTACTCTATGATTCAAAGATAGATAGATTATTTAAAGTGTGCATATTGTTACAGTTTACCATGTCACAATACATGACTAAAGTATTTCATTCAGTAAACATTAAGAAAAGTACTTTCTTCTAGGGTCGAACTGTTGAACGCCCTTATTTTTTCATTTGAGCGTCCGCGAAAGACCGACACGTCCCTGCAAAATGGAGGTAAATTCTTTTTTCGAAAAAGGGGGGGGGGGAGGGGGGGGCAAGGGAGGACCGCGCCAGCCATTAACGGCTGGTGCAGGAGAAACGCGCCACCCCTATGGGGGTGGCGTGCAATAAACTCGCCTCCCTGTAAAGGGAGGCGAGACAGCCTTCGCCAATGGTGAAGGCGGTGGCGCCACATCTGGCGCCACCTTTGTCCGGGTTGGCGAGCACCCGATTGGTGGCGCCTGTTTGGGCGCCACCCATTTTTTTTAATTTTTTTTATTTTTTTAATATATTTTATATTTATTAGTTTAATAATTATTATTATTAGTTTAATAAATTTAATTAATTCATGTATTTATTTTATTTGATTATTTGTTTGGTAGTTTAATATTTGTTTAGAAAATTAGGATTTATGTTAATTAGGTTTATGATATTTAGAGAATGTTTTTTAATTACGTATACTGTTATATTAACTGAGTTAATGGGTATAGCTGTTAGGGATTAGGATTTTTGCTAAAATAATGAGTGTTTATTAATAATATTTTTAATTTGTTATTAGTATATATTAATTATCTTTAAAGTATAAGATCATTATATCGGATTATATAACAATGTTTACTCATAGCAAATTATTTGTGGTTTAACAATGTTAGAGTTAATTTAAGTTATGATATAATTTATTTTTAATGTGTGCAGGATAGGTTTGATCAGGGGGATGGAATCGATTATAGTTCGGCTTTTGCTACAGACGAGACTTTTGCGACGAAGAAGGAAGCTGCTGCATATGCGAAGGGTATTGCGAACTTCTACAATATGGAGTTAAGTGTATCTTCGCACAAGGATAATACTACTATACTCCTTTGTCATAAAGGAGGGCGGTACCAAGGTCAACAGGTGGATGAAAACGTGCGCGCCCGAGCCAATACAAAGACACAGATGACCGGATGCCAGTTTCATGTTACTATTTACAAGATATATGATAGGTGGGCGATCCGTGTATATCCAGGTCCGTTGGAGAGATTGATGTACAACAAACTTCACCCAGGCCAAGCCGGAATAAATGAACCGCGGGTTGGAAAGAGAGGCAAGGGCAGGCCGAAGAAGAGGGGCATCTCTAAAAAAAGGCAAGACAAACCAAATGTGTGGGCATACAAGGACGGCAATCAGGGTGGCACCAATACCAGCGGTTCCAGTAAAGCAGGTACGAGCCAAGGTACCTCGGGTAAAGGTGGGACGAACACCCACAGTTCCAGTAGAGGCCATACACCGGGAGCTGAAGATCAGAGCAGAGGTCCGATATTACTTTCTCTTTTTAAATGTGCGAAATATTATTTTACTTGGTTTACTGGAAGAACTTTTGTTACTGACCCATGCGAGAGCAGGTACATGGACTGGGCAAGGTGAGACGAACACCAGCAGTTCCAGTAGAGGCCATAGGTCGGGTTCCGAACCCCATGTCGGAGGTACGTTTATAATTTATATTGTTCTTAAATACTGATATGTAATTCAGAAATAATGATATTATTTTACGTGGTTAAAGATGTAATTCAGAATAAGATTCCGCAGGTACTCCACAATCATGTTCAGTCATATCTTGATGTCGAGGCTGACGGCAATTGTGGTTTCCGCGTCTTTGCGAGTTGCATGTTGGGAGGGTAGAATAATCACATTTTGTGCTGACAGATATGTTATGATGAGGTTATAAATAACCCTGGCCTGTACGGGAACCTTTACGGGTATGAAGCCAGTTTAATTTTGGTGAGCGGTTTCCATACACTTGCATCAATTTTATTTTATTTAAAACCTTCATTTACTTGTCTTTGTAGGTGGGAAAAATTACCTGCAAGCCTAGAGTGTATACGGTGGACTGGTACCTCCGTAGGTCACTGGATGTCGACAGAGGACTTTTACCCCCTTGCTACATATTTCAATGCTGTTGTGTACTACTTCAGAACCAACGGTGCTAAAAATCTAAACGGCACATGTTGGACTGTGCTACCACTGAGCGCACGGGGCGGGGCAACAAGGCCAGAGTTCCAGATAGTTATTTGCCACCTTGAGCCTTACCCGCACTTCATTCGACTCAATCTGCAGGGTGATTTACCGATTCCCCCCATTCACCCCATTTGGCTGCATGATCGTGATAGTAATGTTATTGGTTGGGAAGAACCTTTTGAACCCAGACTGCAGCTATGGCGTACTTTGGTACCTCGGATAAGACCCACATGGGAATTTTGTGATCTCGGGTGATATGTTGTGTATATATATATTTTTTAATGAAATTGGTGAAATTTTAACGTAAATTAAAATTTAAATTGCAAATCGACATAAGTACATATTGTTCACAAGAACAGAATCGGTACATAATTGTTTAATGGAAAAAGCACTGAGTAGAATGTCATGGGGCCTGACTGTGCCGGAAGATGACATCATCCAGGCGAGTATCCCACTCCTCACCAAGACCCAAATCGAGTTTCTTCAAATCGTCGATGCAACCTCGAGTCAACTTCTCCATCTCACGCATCCACTACAAATGTTAAATAAAACCATATTAATCTCTTAAAGATAGTACGTGTGTTATTAAACAAAGGGTATTCCAGTTAGAGTTGAACTTACGTAAGTGGTGCAGTTCTTCCCTGGGATGCGTGATGTAGACGGTACGGACTCCGGCAGTAGAAATGGATGTGAATGGCTCCTGTACCAGTCGAGGTAATCTACAGCTGCCTGTCCTACCTCAGTAGACGATACCGGCACACAATGACTGAGGTTGATGAACCCCGACTCCGGAAATCTAACCCAACAGTTACATGTCTCGGCAATCGAACGATGAACAAAATACTTGTGAGCATTTTTCCCGTGAAACTGAGTTACCGGCGTGAGCGGCGCACGAGGTATGTACTGCACGTAACCGAGCTGGCGTATCACTCTCTCCGGCATGAATGGCTCCTGGAAGTCGTGGTACATAATCCACCCACTGAAGATGGTCCTCGGATATGCTGCCGCCTGTTCGCGACCAAATGGCTCCCATTCAACCTGCGAACGTTACCAACATTTATTATAGTGTACACAATGAAATACCCCTTACGCAATACACAGAATTAAAATATAAAGTGTACCTCTTGCTCAGTCATCGCGTCGAGCTGCGTACGAATCTGCTGGAGACGACTATGAATAGGCTTCGGGCCCTTATAGCTAACTGGTGTCCAGTCTCGGGTTCTGGGCCAACCATCAACACGTCGACGTCCTCGCCTCTTGGAGGGCTGGAAGCATGGAAAATACTCATATATCCATGCTTGGAGAAGGGTCATACAACCAGCCATCGTGGTACACCCTGCTC